ATCTGAGATTTGCTTCTTAATAAATCAGTACAGAATGAGGCTGGTGGGAAGTGGGATAATGTAGATGATACAAGATTTGACCTTAAATTCTGTGTTTCAAAATGTGCATAATTTTTTTATGCTTGGAAAAGTCGCTTCCCATTCCCATATAACGTATTTCAGGAATGCATACAAATGTATTATGTTTACTTATTAGACCTCTTGGGATTAATTTGGTTGTTTGGAAAAGAGGGAAGAGTTGTTTAATTTTCTAAGTAACTAACCAGTTGCCTTTCCCAGATTGCACCAGTGGTAATGAATCCACCTGACAATGCAGGAAACTCAAGAGATGCGGGTTTGATTCCCTGGAGAAGGAAACAGCAACCCAGTCCAGTATTCTCGCCTGGAAAATTCCATGGTCAGAGGAGCCTGGCGAGCTACAGTCCATGGGGTCACAAAGAGTGGACACGACTGAGCACGCACACAGCAACAGCCAATTACCCTAGCACTGGTTTTTTTTATGTGTTTTTTTTAAAATATTTTGTTCTTTCATAATGTGATGCCAGAGGAGACTCTTGAAGAGTCCTTTGGATAGCAAAGAGATCAAACCAGTGAATCCTAAAGGAAATCAACCCTGATATTCGTTGAAAGGACTGACGCTGAAGCTCCAGTACTTTGGCCACCTGATTCAAAGAGCCAGCTCATTGGAAAAGACCCTGATGTTAGGAAAGATTGAGGGCAGGAAGAGAAGGGGGCAACAGAGGATGAGATGGTTGGATGGCATCATTGACACAATGGGCATGAATTGAAGCAAACTTCAGGAGACAGTGAAGGACAGGTAAGCCTGGTGCGCTGCAGTCCATGAAGTCGCAAAGAGTTGGACACAACTGACTGATCAACAGCATGATGCCACTTTTATATGCTAGAGGATGTGCTATTTTGTTTCACTGATTCATCTGAACATTCTGATGTTAGTGCAGAACTGTTTAGTGATTCATTACTTTAAAAGTACTATCCAGTGACTTCCCTGGCGGTCCAGCAACTAAGACCCCACACTTCCAATGCAGTGAATGCAGGTTCCATGGCTGGTCAGGAAATTAGGATCCCGCATGCTTCGCTGTGGAGCCAAAATTAAAAGACAATGAAAGAAAGAAAAAAAAAAGTATCCACCAAGAAATAAATCCTTGTGTATATAGTCAAACAATTTTGGACAAAAGTATCAAGATCATTAATTGGAGAAGACAGCCTTTTCAATAAATAGTGTTGGGAAAATTGTTATCCACACGCACAAAAGTTAGACCCTTACCTTACACCATATACAAAAATCAATTCAAAATGGATCAAAGACCTACACATAAAAGCTAAAATTATAAAACCCTTAGAAGAAAACAGGGGGAAAGCCTCATGACATTGGATTTGGCCATGATTTCTTGGATGTGACACTGAAGACACAGGCAACAAAAGAAAAAATAGACTGATTGGACTTCATCAAAATTGAAAACTTTTGCATCAATGGTCCTCTGGCCAGAGGTGGAAGAGATGATGGAAACTGAGGGTTTTAATAAACAGGGTAACTGTAAATAATGAGGAGGTCTCTGGAGGAAATAAACTGGGTGATAAATCAGGAAGTATTTTATACATTTATGGTATAACAAAAACACCATAGACTTGAGATTCTTAACAAATAAATTTATTTCTCATGGTTCTGGAGGCTGTAGTTTAGTCGCTAAGTCATGTCTGACTCTCTTGTGACACCGTGGACTGTGGCCCACCAGGGTCCTCTATCCATGGGATTTCCCAGGCAAGAATGCTGAAGTAGGTTGCCATTTCCTTCTCTAGGGGATCTTCCTGACCCAGGGATCAAACCTGCATCTCCTACATTGATAGGCAGATTCCTTACCACTGAGCCACCAGGGAAGCACTTCCTGGAGGCTAGAAGTCCAAACTCAAGGCATCTGCAGATTCAGTGTCGGGTGAGAACCTGCTTCCTGGTTCGTGGATGGCTGTCTTTGCACTCCGTTCTGATTTAACAGAAGGGGTCAGGCAGTTCTTGGGCTCTTATAAGGACCCTAATCATTCATGAGGGCTCCATTCTCATGACATAATCACCTGTCAAAGATTCTACCTCCAAATATCATCACACTGGGGATCAGACTTCAACTAATGAATTCTTGGCGAGGGACACAAACATTGAGTCTATAGCAGAGTTCTCGGGAAAGGCCACTTTAGATTGGACTTTAGTAGAAGCTGAGCCTGATGAGGTGACCTCTGAGCTGTAACCTATAGGAGGAAGACTGGGCCATGGAAAAGGTTGGCAGTGGGCTCACCTAGAGGAAAAATCCATAGGGTGGGATATTTTAAAAATTCGTCTTCCTGAGCTAAGAAGTATAATCGAGACAAGCACTTGATACTTTGCCACCATGGGCTTGTACAGATTCATCCATCCTTCAAATCATGCTGGATTTTGATGTGGGAAGTAAGAAACATGGGCTTTAAGACAGCCCTGAGAGTAACTGTGTAAAAGAGAGCATATTTTAAAAGAAGTATTCTTCTGCCTAGAGATCATGCTTATATGTGGCCATCTCTCTCTTTCTGGAGGTCTGTCCCTCTTGCACTTCCTAACTTGACATCTGGTAAAAGAGAATTTTGCTTAGCAACTGAAATAAACCCCCCAAAACCCAGAAGTGACACTATCTCAGTTAAAATGAAAAGTTTAATAAAAACATCAAAAATTAAGTTCATGATGAGGGCTAAAAGTAGGTATCAGGCAGACTTATAAAACAAAGTACTATTCTTTTTACACTTCAAGTAAATCATGAAGTACAAAATCGTAGAACATCAACACATAGGAAAGCACTAACAGTCTTTGCAGTGATTTGCCATAAACAGATGTTTTTAAAGTGCTACAGTTTAAGGCATTATGTTTTAAAGTTTAATAAACATCTGCTTCCTCACAGAATAGTTTTTTCTCAAATTAGCTGCAAACTGTTTAGGGAATACTGAAAATGTATATATAAATCGAGGAGTAATACATTTGCTATTGCAAAGTTAACAGTACAATTCCAAAGCATATGCAATTCCAAATGAGGAACAAACTGCCCTGCTCACGATGCAGGGTAATCCACACAATCCATCCAAGATCCGCACGACAAACTCTCCATTCACTCTAAGTGCCTAGGCATTTCATTCATTAGTTTTTCTTTTTTAAATAACAAAAAATGTGCAAGGCACCTAAAGATTGGCCTGTATTTCATTTATCCATGTTGAAAATGCAGACATAGGCTGCAATGGATCTAGTCGAGGTGGTACTAAGAAGTGGCATAGGAAGAACTCTCCTGTTATAGACTGGTAGGTTTGAGACAGTGGTACTTCTTATTAATAACAGGAAGTCCTTAACTTTTCTAAGCTTGACCTTCATCAGCTACAAAATATCATCCTGTTACTGGACAGTCTGTAAGAATTATGTAAGTATTCAACTGAAGCATAAAGTATGGTGCCAGAATGAGGAAGGCTCAAAAAGTACAGCTGCTCATACTGTATCACGATTCCTTCTATATACAGAGTATAATGGGAGAATAAAGGACAGTCCTGTCCACTTTTGGAGCATGTTCTCCATGGACAGGTCTGCTCTTCATTGTCTAGGACTGCTCAGACATTTATCATCCTGGCTTCCTGGCAGCAAAAAAGGCCAGCAGCACCCCCATAATTGTGATAACTGAAAACACAACCCCATATTTCCAAACACCTCCTGAAAGAGGTCATTACCTTTTTCGAGAACTGCTCTTTCAGAAAGAGCTTATTTATTAAGAAACAATTTAGTTATCTTAATAAGCAAAAGAATGCCTTCCTGTCTTTGTGAGTCCTCAAGGATGAGATATGTTAGGTCTAGTGGCAGGAAGGAAGAACAGGAAAGGAACATTCAGTACAGCTCGAATCCTTCCCTTATAAATCCCAGTATCAAAATTCCTGAGCTCACTATTCAGGGCTCAAGTCAAAAGCTAGAGCTACAGCCTTGTGGGTAAACACAGCAGAAAGGAATCCTGCCATGAAGCCACCTTTTCATCTAGGCTCACTCTTCATGTAGTTGGAATAGAAGGCAGACATATACATTCAGACCATAACCATTCCTCAACATACCGAACAAGGGTTCTCTTCATCCTATGTCTACAAAAAGTAAAAACTAAAATCATAAAAGGGTAACGATAACAAGTCCCCTAAAACTGACATAAGCTCTGCTCCAAGATAAGTTCTAATTCATTGTCACTCAAGCCCACATCCTTCTCTGATGAAGTATTAAAAGTCTGAATACCACTTTCGTGTTGCCATGGGTCTTAAACAGGTAGGTCTTCCTTCTCCCGAATTTGTTCTCCAGACATCTTAGTGATGTCAGAAAAGACATGGGGCATTTGACCATCGTTCAAGCTGAGATGAGTGTCTGCAGTAGCTCAGTGATAAAGAATCTGCCTGCAATGCAGGAGCTGCAGGAGACCCAGGTTTGATCCATGGGTCTGGAAGATCCACTGGAGAAGGGAATGGCAACTAATTCCAGTATTCTTGTCTGGAGAATCTCATGGACACAGGGGCCTGGTGGGCTACAGTCCATAGGATCACAGAGTCAGAGACAACTGAAGTGACTTAGCACACACACATGCATGCCAAGATAAAAGGCAGGTTTTGTTACCTCCACCTTCCGTGTGGAAAGACTGAGGCACTGAGAGATGAGATGAAATGCCCACTAGTGGAGCCTGCTGGATATAAAAATCTGTATCCCCTGCTTCCCCATCCACTACTTTGGTCGCCATCCCCCAAGTCACATGCATTATTGAAATGGCTGAAGTTTCCTGCAGAGGAATGCCCCCCCCAAAAAAGGAAAAGTCCCACAAGTCCCTCTTTCCAATCTCTCTGACCTGAGCCCAACCTAGATCTTCAGAGTTGCCAGATCCACTGTCAATTACAGAAAGAATCTGTTTAGAAGGATGTGTATTTATATTCTCTGCACCATCTCTTCATGGAGATGTTCTTTATCTCTTTGAAACGATTATATTAAATGGATGTGGGGCTAAAGTTAGACCATATTTCCCAGTCAGGATTGGCTTTGAGTCCTTAGGCAAAACAAACGTGAAACTCTGCATTAGGCTCACGAACATCAGGAACAACTCCATCTTTGCCAGCTGCTCTCCCATACACACCCGCTTTCCTAAAAATGAGACCAGAAAAAAGGGATTACAAGACCACCCCTTTTCCTACCTCAAAAGGGATACGTTTATACGAAAACTCTAAATTGAGTGTTTTAAAGGCAGACACAGAGAGGTTTGAAATAAAATTGCTACATATAACCCAGGGCGGCCCAGAGTCTATGTAGATCAGAATTTTTACCAAGTTCACATTTTAGCTAACTCCTACTCACTAGATAGATAGAAACTGGAGACGGAGCCAACAAGGCAGGCTACCTCGTCTCTTCCATACCTACTTATCTCTTTCCCTGCTCTTAGCTGGAAGATTGAAGAGAAGAGACATCACATGAGAATCTCTGGATCATTCCTTTTCTATAGAAAGAAGCCTCCTTGCCCTCATCTAGGAACCTAAAAGAGTAAACTGCTGAGAACAGAGATCCCACCCTCTCACCCACCATTTAGGCAGGTCGAAAGCTGCCCTTAGCTCCAATAGGTCTCTGGGACTTAAACAATCACCTGGACAACTAAAAAAGGAAGATGTCTAGTCACATTTAACAATTTTAAATGAACTGCTTTCATTTTTTAAAATATGAACTGAACATAGTGGAGATGCATTATCTAAATTATTTCTCTCATGTATTGGCTTGTCAAGAAAGACACATTTTTAAAACAATATCATGAAATAATGAAAGATTCTTCTGGTTCTACTTCTTTCTTAATTATACCATTAAGGAAATAAAAGTTTAACTGACCTATGCCAAAAGGAATAAACGTTTTCTTTTTAATAAGTTGTCCTTGATCATCCAGAAATCGATCAGGGTAGAAATCATTTGGTTTCTCCCAGATGGCTGGGTCTCTGTGTACTGACAATAGGTTGGGTAATATTATCGTGCCTTTAGGAATAGTATACCCTTGGAGCACTAAAACAGAAGAAAACCACAGAATCATTCAACATGCTTTTACTAATAGCTCCCGGTAAACATCACTGTGTGAAAAAAAGAGCTAGTTACACATCTAGGTTCTTAACTTTCTGAACGGAGACGGCAATGGTAACCCACTCAAGTGCTCTTGCCTGGAAAATCCCATGGACGGAGGAGCCTGGTAGACTGCAGTCCATGGGGTCGCTACGAGTCGGACACGACTGAGCGACTTCACTTCCACTTTTCACTTTCATGCATTGGAGAGGGAAATGGCAACCCGCTCCAGTGTTCTTGCCTGGAGAATCCCAGGGACAGGGGAGCCTGGTGGACTGGCGTCTGTGGGGTCACACAGAGTCAGACACGACTGAAGCGACTTAGCAGCAGCAGCAGCAAACTTCTGAGAGTAAACTTTCAGGTACTTTGAGGGCAGGGGAAAAGACCTTATTAACTGTCATCATCCCCACATGGCCCCTGGACCCAGCCTAAGACAGAGCACAGGAGCTGCTCTGATGCATGTTGAGTTAATAAATTCAATCAAACCATTAAAAATTATAGTTAAGAGAAACATTAAAAGAGAAACATTAAATTAGAAATCATGTGGCATTTCAAGTAAATTATAAATTCCTCCCTGGTGGCTCAGTGGTAAAGCACCCACCTGCCAATGCAGGAGACAAAGGTTTGATCCCTGGGTTGGGAAGATCCCCTGGAGGAGGGCATGGCAACCCAGTCCTGTATTCTTGACTGGAGAATCCCATGGACAGAGGAGCCTGGCAGCCACACTCCATGGGGTCACCAAGAGTCGGACATAACTTAGCAACTAAACTCAGATGGTAAAGAATCCACCTGCAATGCAGGAGACCTGTGTGTGATCCCTGGGTGGGGAATATCCCCTGGAGAAGGGAACAGTTACCAACTCCATTCTTGTCTGTAGAATTCCATGGACAGGAGCCTGGCAGGTTACAGTCCATGGGGTCACAAAGAGTCAGACATGACTGAGTGACTTTCACTTCACTTCACTTCAGACAACAACAATTCTTATATGTAATTTTACAGCTCACACAGTCTTTTACGTCCACACAACAGTGCAATGAAGGTAAACTAAAGGGATATGTGGGACATCAGCACTGGCTCTTACCAGCTGCCAAGACCATATGTGCTTTAAGCAATGCCCCAAAGATGCCACACACAGTTTGTATCTAATTTCCACCAAGGAAACTGTTGAGTGATCCAATGTCATTTATAAGTGACTGCCTCCTGCAATTGTCTTATAAGTAGATGTAAGCCCATTTCATCACAGGCTGTCTCCAGAAGACAACCCCTGGCTATGAAGGACCTTTACAGAGTCTGAGCGCCTGTATGTGACTGAGGGTGAGAGGCTGAAACGTGTGCCCTCAGAATCAGATGGGCTCTTCTAATCCTTCACCATTTGTGCTTCAGTTGCAGAACTGTTAAAAAACGATGCAGGGTAACTCCCGGCAGAACTCCTTACTTCCAAATTTACGCTAGCTCTTCGGACCGCCAAGAACAGGAGGACTGAGAGGGACCTTTGTTAATTATTGTATCTGCCAATACAGCCACCTTAAATGGCAGCACAATTTGCCTGACCAGTGTACCTGAGCATGCTTGGAAGGCTGGAGAGCTATTTACCAGAGAGGCAGTGCTGGAACGCCAGCCAGTACAGCAAACAGGGACAGTGAGGCTGCAGCATCCCCTGGACATCTGATCACCCACGACAGTGCCAAACCCCCGCCGCACCCGCACCTCAGGTCCTCTGGGAGAAGGGGCTGGGCTCCCCTCAAGGGCCCTGGACTCGCCTGTTCTCTCTGAGGTCATGTGAGGGATGGAGAGCGGCACGACGGTGCTCAGCCTCTGCACCTCCATGATGGTGGCTTCTGTGTAGGGCATCCGCGCCTTGTCAGTGAGGGAGGGGGTGCGCTCAGCACCAATGACCCTTGCAATTTCTTCATGAACCTTTTCTGTACAAAAACAAGAGGAAAGCAGAATCCAAAGGATAAGCCAGGAGAGACTGCCCTCCCACGCACACTTCCCATCACCACACCCACACAGCTGGGAAGTGGGCAGAAGAACCTGACTTAGCCTCCGTGAAGCGAAGCACCGGTCGGTTATCCCAGTAGAGGCAGCTGGTCCCAGGGACACTGCACCAGCCTGGAACTCTTAACGGAGCGCGGCAGAGCAGATAGAGGGGCCCAGGGGAAGGTGCATTGGATTCAGGACCCACCTGAATCACTCTTTCTTATCAACTTTGAATTGGCTCTCTAAGCCAGTTCTCTAAGCTAAACCTGTGACAACGTGTGACAGCTCAACATGACCTCCAGTGACGCCACCTCTTGGTGGTCACACCTTTGTGCCGTCCCCTCCCACTTGATACCAAACTGGTCTCTGTGACCAACAGAATAGGGAGAAGTAACGGTATGACCATTCTGAGCTGGGGTTAGAATTGACCACCACGGCTTTTGTCTGGACCACTCACTCTCGGGTCATTCACTCTGGGAGAAGCTGGCAGCCAAGTCAAGGTCTGAAGGGTAAGGCCCACCAGCTGTCATGTGGATGAACAATCTTGCTAGAGGATCCTTCAGTCCTAGTCAAGTCTACAGGTATTTGTCGCCCCGGCCAACATCTTGATGATAATTTTGTAAGAAATTCTATGCAGAACACACAGGCTCTGCTGCTCCAAACTCCTGATCCTCAGAAACTATGTGACATAATGAATGGTGGTTCTTTTAAGATGCTAAATTTTGGGATAATTTGCTACTCATCAATAGTTAATGAATGTAGGTAGGCAAAATCCCATCTATAGTAGGCAGAAAACGGTCCCCCAAGATGTCCATAATCCCTTAGAACCTGTGAATATGCTATCTTATATGGTAAAGGGACCTTGATTAAATGAAGAACCTTGAGCTGGGGAGATGATGCTGGATTTTCTTGGCTTGCCCAGTCTAATTACACGGGTTTTAAAATTGGAGAACTTTTCCCATTTGAGTTTAGAGTCAGAGGTAGATGTGACTACAAAAAAATGGCCAGAGGGATACAAGGTTGCTGGCTTCAAAGATGGGAGCAAGGGGGCCCAGCCAAGGAAGCTAGAAATGGCAAGGAGATGGATTCTCCTCCAGAGTGTCCAGCAAGGCATGCAGCCCTGCCAATGTCTTGATTTTAGCTCACTGAGACAGTGTCAGACTTCTAATGTACAGAATTCTAATATAACAAATTTGTGTTAAGTCACTAAGTGTGTGGTTATTTGTTGTAGGAGCAATGGAAAATGAATACACTTCTTCCCCCTGTCCTTCCACTGTAAACTTCCACTGATATTCACTACCTATTGGTATTGATGTGGTGGAACTAGCTCTGTGACCATGTGAAAATCACAGAACTCTGGGCCTCTGGTCTCATTTTCAAAAAACATAGATGGGTTCAGATGATTATGATATTCTTCAACTCTAAAAGAGTCTTCTCTAAAGTTCTTTCTTCATCCTAGATTTCACACAGAACCAGACCTGTAGAGATTTAAAGCAGATGCATGCAAGCTGTGACCGTAGAGCCACTGTCTAGAATCTTGGGAGTTTCATTGTTAACACCTTACCAATTCCCTATGAGATGCAAGCATTTCCATTTTGTTTTCCAGTCTGAAGACATTGCTTATTAATAGGAGCCACAGGATCACCAAGGTTGTTGATCCTGATTTAAATATCCTGGTTTTGCCATGAATAAAGGAAACATCTGTTTATTACCTTGAATGCTGGGGTGCAGTGACATATACAGGAGGCACCAAAGCAAAGAGTTAGTTGTGGTATCAGTGCCAGCAATGAAGAGATCGCCAATGATATAAAGTAAGTAATCTTCATCAAAACCACTATTGCTATTATTTTTCTTCTCCTCCTCCACATGGAGAAGATACATGTCTATGAAGTCCTGAGGGTTCTCTACATCCAAAGACTCTCGATGGTCTTTGATGATTTTTTTAAGGAAAATGGTTAAATCCTTTTCAATCTGTCTTAATTCCTTAAATGGTCCAAAAGGAAGGTAATAAAGCCAGGAGCATATGTTGACCAGGAGAAGCTGGGTGTTCAGACAAATTTCTAATGCTCGTGACATAAAATTAAGCATTTTCTTAAATTCACTGTTGGTGTAATCAAAGCGCCGACCAAAGCACAAAGAGCAAATGATGTTAGAGACAGCGTTGTTGACGATGGCGAAAGGATTGAAGGGGGCTTCTCCATGCTTCTGAATTTCCTCTTTCACATATCTGAACTCCTCAATGATCTTGGGCTCCAAGCTCAGCTTTCCCAAGCCAAAATGACGAAGAGTTGAATGAGAGAACTTCCTCTGTTGTCTCCAGACTGGACCATAATGTGCAAATACAATCCCTGCAAAAGGAAACCAAGGAAAGAAGGTGAGAGACAGCAAAGCTTGACAATTAATACTGAAGAGGGCCAACCATGAAGTGGACTCGTATTTCTCCAGTCACTTGTGCAAAGCTCATATACGTACAGATAACGACCACCAGCCAAGAAGAACGACTGGCAAAATTTAGTTATCCAGATAGTGTATGTTTCTAATAACAAAAATCACACCTAATTTCATTAGAAAACTTTGCTAAAAAGCTTGTTATTATAACTCCTGGTGAAATAAGAGAAAACAAGTTTCGATTTCTAGAGTTACATAAATTTCAAAATCTTATTTTCTTAAAGTGAACCCAGACTTAGAAAATATCTCAAGCTAGGTACACCCATATTCTAAACATTCTGAACAGAAGCACAATAACAGAGTGCACATGAGGGCAGGGACGATATCTGAGTTTGCTCATCATTAAAAGCCAAACTTCTGGCATAGTGCTACATACAGAGGAGGAGCTTGTTAAATATTAGCTGAATAAATCAATGACCCAACTGAATTAGAACAGTGCTCATCAAAGCTTGGATCAAAGAAATGGCAAGTAATCTAAAATGTCTGTTGTTGCAAACAGCCCTAATTTAAAAACATCTGAACTCTAGGACATTCACAACTACATCTTATTTGATTTTCACTTATGTTTTACATCTTTCACCATCAAACCCAACAGAATTGCTCTCAGATGTTACATCAAATTGTTCTCAAACATTCCTTGCTTCCTGTCACTTACTTAATCCTCTTTTCCATGGTGTGCTTTATTGTTTCAGCCAGCTTTCCTCCTTCCTTCCCATTTTTCATCTACTTCATTCCTGCTACCTTCAAGGACATGCTTAACAAATATTTCTGAATGCCTACTATGTACCAGACATTGGGATGCTGTGAATACAGCTGAGAATGAAAGAAAGACCTCTCTCAGTGGTTAAGTCTGTCTATGTAAAATGATTCTCAATTAAAAAAACAGCCATATGGTCAAATGTTTTGAATGATTTATCAGGTTCATTTTCCTTCCTGGAATCTTCCACACGTCTGCTCAAATATGATATTCTTTCAAGGCCTTTTGTTTAGGTGTTTTATGACTTCCATTTGTCGTCATCTAGAATTTTTTTAGGGGTTTCTCAGGTGATGCTAGTGGAAAAGAACCTGCCTGTCAAAGCAGGAGACATAATGAGACATGGGTTTGATCCCTGGGTTGGGAGGATCCCCTGAAGGAGGGCATGGCAACCCACTCCAGTATTCTTGCCTGGAGAATCGCATGGACAGAGGAGCCTGGTGGGCTATAGTCCATGGGGTCACAAAGAACTGAACACAACTGAAGCGTTGTAGCGCAGCGTAGAAATTTTTTGGACCATCCTGTGTTGAACCCATTTCCCTGGAATCTATGTCTTTTTCTTCTTTCCCTCCTGTATTTTGTTGAAGCCTATCCTCTAGTAGTTTCCTGGGAAAGGATACATCAGAGACAAATTTCTAAAGACTTTTAACAAACGTATTAATTGTACCTTTCCCCTCCATCAGAATTTTGAAAACACTGCTAAGAGTACACTGATGTGTCATAAAATACGTTCACCTTCAATGTGACTAGATATTGCCAAACTCCTCTCCAAAGTGAAAAAGATCCCAAAAGTGTGCCTACCAGAAGTATATTAACGATCTCTTGTCAAACAGTTGCCATCACTTGGCAGTTATCAACATTTTATTTTTGCCAATCAGAGGGCTGAAATGCATCTCAGCTGATTTTTATTTGCATGTCCCTGATTGTTACAGTGAGTTGGAGCAGCTTCTCATATGGCTATTGCCCAAGTTTCCTATTCTGTGACTTGTACTTATAAACTGTGCAATTTTCTTCTTCTTATATATTCTACATGCAAAGCAGATATTGCCTTCCATCATGTGAATTGCTTTTTTCATGTTTTCATGCTATTACTTGATAAACAAGTTTTAAATATGAAGGTAGTTGCATTTATCAATCTTTTCTTAGTGGCTTGTGCTGTGTATCTTAGTTTAAAAACCTCTTCCTACCACAGGTTCATAAATACAACTATTTTCTTGTAAAATTAAAACATTTTACTTTTCCACATTTAAGTCTCTACAGCCTACCTGGAGTTTATACTTATGTTAGGTATTCCTACTTGTTGTGAAGAGGGAATCCACTTTACCCCTTATTTTGATAATCAAGCACCATTTATGGAACAGCTTCTCCTTTTCCGTACTGATCTACAACACTGCCTCCGTCATGCATTTGCTCCATCATGCAAAGGCAGCTCCATTTACAGCCTTTCTAGCCTGCTTTACTGTATATTGTTGCTGTTGTTGTGTCCAACTCTTTGGGACCCCATGGACTGTAGCCCACCAGGCTCCTCTGTCCATGGGATTTCCCAGGCAAGAATACTGGAGTGTATTGCCATTTCCTTCTCTAGGGGATCTTCCCGACCCAGTGATCAAACCCACGTTTCCTGCATTGGCATGCAGATTCTTTATCACTGAGCCACCAGGGAAGCCCACTAATTTTCAGACCTTCATCCTGATAAAGGATAGTGAAGGCTCCACAAGGGCTTCCCTGGCGGCTCAGTGTAAACAATCTGCATGCCAATGCAGGAGACAGCCCTGGGCTGGGAAGATCCCCTGGAGAGGGGAATGGATACCCACTCCAGTATTCTCGCCTGGAGAGTCCCATGGACAGAGGAGCCTTGGACTACAGTCCATGGAGTTGCAGCGTCCGACACTACTGAGAGGCTAACACTTTCACTTTTCAAGTCTCTACAGTTGCCTCTGAGATCTGCTTTAGCTGCAGTCCACAAGTATTGTCTGCAGTGCATTTGAAGTATAAACTTTTTGTTCTATTATGATTCTCTTTGCCACCTAGGTTAACTGGCTTATGCTGATTTTTTACATCAATGAGGCTAGCTTTTTAGTTTAGTATGTGATCAATTTTAATAAATCTCCAAATAAAGTAGGGAAGAGTTTTTATATAAGCAATAAGGTTCTTTTTTTGAAAATTTAAAAAAACTTTTAATTTTATATTGGAGTATAGCCAATTAACAATGTTGTGATAATCTGGTGAACAGCCAAAGGGACTCAGCCATACATACACATGTATCCAATACAATTGAAATTCAGCATTTTAAAATTGTCATTTTGAAACTAAAGAAGAAACTGAAGAGAGTGATTTTTGCATATTGCTCCATGACCTTATTAAATCTTTTTTTCATATGAAGGAGAAGAGCACTAAGAAATGATCCACTACAGGTGATAAATACACTAAGCATGCCACTGTATGGTCCGTTCCAACAAAGAACGCTAGATAACTTTTAGAATCAAATCTTCTTTATCCTTACCAAATTTTTATTTGCCTGATCTCTCAACTATTCAAATACTTACGTTAAAATATTTTGCTCTAATTGTACTTGTCAATTTCTTTTTACAATTATGTAAGTTTTTGTTATGTGTCTATCTATATATCTATATGTGTGTATATAAAAATATTTTAAGAATTAAAATATATAATTAAAATGCACAAAAATTTTATGTATCTATGTTGTACATATATCAGGTACATATATTAATATATGCCAGACAACACTGTCAGCTACATTCAAATTTAGAAATATTTTATCTTCCTGGTTAAAAAAAAGGGTTCCTTTTATCATCATCTAATGCCTTCCTTATTCTTTATTTCTTTAGTTTTGGGGCTGTGCTAGGTCTTCGCTGCTGCACTCTGGCTGTCTCTAGTTGCGGCAAGTGGGGGCTACTCTCGAGTTGCAGCGCCCAGGCTCCTCATTGTGGCAGATTTTCATCTTACATGGTACAAGGTCATACCTCTCTGCCCTCATTCCCCTCCCTACTTCAAATCACTGGCTGACCAAGAGGTCACTAAAATCCAAAGTTCTTCAAAAGCATCTATTTTCTATTTTCTGCAGGGAAGGTGGTGGTGATAAGGAACTGGTCTAACTATAGTTTATATGCACTTCAAGCAGTTGCTGTTTTCAGCTGTCTGGCTCATCCCTATCTCCTGTCATCACTGGTACTTCCGATTCTCGAGCCTTTCTGGGATTCCTTAGGAAGAACTGTACCACACTCCATTAGTACCTCCCTCTGTAGAAACTTAAGGGTGGTCACCCACCACTCTTTGAAGTCATTTGCCAATCCTGTCTCCGTTTTTTGTCTTCAGATGTTGTGGTACATTTCATCATGGAGCAAGTGCTTCTGTGAAAAGTCCCTCTGGTGTAGTGTGTGATTTTCAAGACAAAGAAGGAATAAAAATACATTAACTATTCCTGAAACTAGACTCTCTTTGTTTACTAAAGCCCTATAAACTATTTTCTAGGGAACCACAGCTTAGTCACACTTCCTGTCTTTAACCATGCCCAAACTTTTTGCTGCTGTCAGCATTCAGAGGCTGTGTTATTGGGCTCCCTTCCTTTTCTTGGAAACATATGGTCTCTGACTCTAACTTCAGGATTTTATCCTAACTTTAACTACCATCTAATTTAAGATGTCACATATGACATCTCCGGTATGTCCTATTTCTCAAGGGATTGTATTCTTTTGTTAGGTCCTCAGTCTGTGTCACCTACTCATCATCTTTCAAACTCTCACCTTTAAACTCATGTTTAAATCCATACATTTGGATTTTAGAAACATTTTATCTAGCAAAATGCCCTCTGTTAGTTTTTCCAATATTTATTTAGAGTCCCCTATGTGCCATCTATTAAGGGCACATGGATTTAAAAGACACAGTTGCTGTTCTCAAGATGCTTTCAGTTTTTTGAGGAACTGGATAAATCAACAACTCTAATATGCTGTTTTACACTGAACTCCACTGAAGTTGCATAGCATATTGAATGTTGTATGGTGGGTCGCACTAAAGTTGCATAATTCGTATGTATGGTATTGAATGTTGCATTGTTGGACTGTACAGGATTGAACGCTGTATTTTGGACTATACTGAATGTCCCACTGTTGGGATACATTGTATTAA